AAACAAAGGTAATTTTTAAATTTCACACAGTCATCCTTCCTTACAATTATTTTTCTTTGTATGAATGTTTCACAATGTAATGTTCATGAATCTCTTAATTTTTTCCATCACAAATGACGTAAATGAAAGCATTGGCAACTGTTTACAAAGTGACCGAACCGCATGAGACTATATCCTTATTACTCAAGCCACTCTTTGGCTCACAGACATTACAGTTGGAACTAAAGACCTTCCTAAGCTCACCACCATCGGCATTTGTGACCCATTTTCTTCACTTCTGATGTTTTTCTTTGCTCGTGCAATTTATGTATCAGTGACTGCAGTTTTTTTTCCACTCTTTATGATAGTGTCATTAAGTTGTCCTGTAATTATATACCAAAGTACTTCATGTTGCACAACTTTCTGATTATCAAATTGTAAAGGAAATGCCTAAGATATAAGTGTTTACTGTCATTCTGTAAATTTAAGTCATGGCTTACCTAACACTCTATGGTGGCATGAAACTGAAACTCGCATGAACAATCATAAGAATAGGATTATTGATGGATTCGTCTAAGTCCCTCCTACCCATTTTCATATAAATTATGCCCCAGAACCCCCCTAATACCCACAAGATTGTAGCAGGGGAGGGCATGGAAGATACCGGGGAAATTGCAGGGTAAAATATGAAGGATATGCAGGGAATTGCTCAATATGTAGTCAGATGCAGGGTTTGTGCCCTTTCCAAGTTCCCATGGGGAGCTGCTTCCCCCAAAACCCTACCCTGGACAACAAAGAATCCACTATGTATTTAAGGCAGAGTAAACCATAATGATGATTGGACCTAAAATTGTCATTATAAGATTAATTCTAGGGGGGAGTTGGAGGGTACACAGTGTGTCAGTGAATTGTGTCATTTCTCACATTTAATTGATATTTGTGGCTTTCTGGGTGAGCACTGGTAGGAAATTCAGTAAGCCAGATGATTGGCAAACTACCCAACCAGGTAAGTGTTAACTCATTGCCGCCGGGGAAAATGAACAAAAAATGGGGAAAATACTGTGCCTATTTTCTACACTTTTTTGTTAAATGTCTGCCCATAGATGGCTCTGTTAGCGCCTGATTTGAAATGGCGGGAAAAAACGTATTTTCCACTAGTGCCATGAATATCGATGGTGTTATTTTTATCATAAATATTATAATTTTTATAATGTTTTTTACCATTAGTAACAGCAAAATAAGATAACGTAAAATATTTCGTAAATCAAAGAAAAGGGTGAATGGGCGAGACAGGCGGTACTCGTAACTGGCTCATTGGTAATTTAGTACAAGTGTAGCCATCTATGTGTGAAAACAATCCAACAAGTAATCTCACAGTGGGCATGGCATGGCTTGCCCGGCGGGAATGGGTTAAATAAGATATCTTTGTTATTCTTGATAAAGAAGTTATGATTGGAATTTGTTATAGTTTATTAAGCCTTTTTTATTATTTTATTGCATATATATATATCTATATATATATCTGTCTATATATATATATATATATATATATATATATATATATATATATATATATATATATATATAAATATATATATATATATATATATATATACACATATACATGTCTATCTATATCTATCTATATCTATCTATATCTATCTATATCTATCTATATCTATCTATATCTATCTATATCTATCTATATCTATATCTATATCTATAGCTGAGATCTAGATCGAGATTATATCGATATCGACATCCGATAGCATAGCTATATCTATCTGGATCGTAATAGATCTATATATATTATATATGATACTACTATAGATAGAGAAGATAGATAGAGTAAATGATTATATACATAATATATAGAATACACTATATAGAATACATAGATATAATACATTAAATATAGATATACATACACTTAGAGAGACATAAAGTTATAGAAGAGACATACATAGAGATAGACATACATATAGTAGATACATGACAGCGAAGAGACAGACATAGAGCAGATACATACAGAGAGAAGTAGACACACATAGTATAGATCAGACAAATATGAAAGACATACAGCTAGAATGTACATACAGAGTAGATATAACAGTATATAGATGTTCATACATGATATAGTAGGATACAGAAGAGTAAGGACATACAATAGATATCTACATACATATAGAGATACGTACATATAGAGAGACCAGACATACAGACATGACTATATATATATATAAGACTAGATATAGAGAGATATATAGAGATAGATTATATAGAGAGATTACATATATAGTAACATAGGAGAGAGACAGAATAGATACATATAGCTATACATAGATATGGAGACATATAGATATATATATTACCATATCTATATATTATAGATAGACATATACGATCATATAGAGAGTTAGATAGATACATGATATAGCGTAGCTATATATATGGATAGAATATATTATATATACATATAGAGTATATATAGAGAGAGATGAAGTATAGATATACATATATATGATATATAGAGTATTAAGAGATAGAGAGTAGACATAGAGGTATATAGATAGATAGATATATATATAGAGACATCATAGAGATAGATAATATTAGATATATATACCTATATATATATATATTACATATATATATACATATTAATATATTACCATATAGAGATATACATATATATATATACATAATATATATAACATTATGATATATAGAAACTATATATATATACATAGATATCTATATACATAAATATAACAATTATATATAATAGAATATATATATACACAGATAATATAGATACATATATAAATATAAATATATATATATACATATTATATTATTAACATTATTATGTATACGAGGCTAGAGTATACAGATATAGATAGAGATACAATAGATAGTACAGTAAGATATAATATAAAATATATATATATATATAGAGAGATATATAGATGACAGAAGCTACAGAGAGATAGGAGATATATATGAGATAGATATAGAGATATAGGATAGTATACTATATAGATATTACATAGGAGAGATATACATATATCTAGGAGATACTAGCATATATATACATCTAGAGAGATATATGAGACAGTAGAAGATATAGATAACAAGATATATATATTACAATAATATATCTACTATATAGATATTATATATATATATATATATAATATAAATAAGTAAAATTTATGTATATATGTATCTATAGTATCATTACTATGTATGTATATTATAACATATACATACATACATTACATAACTCCATACATCACATCACACAACACACACATGATACTCTATATCTATATATATTCGAAATATTATATAATACAAACTAATATATATGTATTATATATTAGATAATATATAATTTATATAACATATATCTATATATGTATGTATATATATAATCTATATATAGATATATATATCATATATATATACAGAGATATATGTGGTTATATATAGTATATAATAATCTATATATTATAATAATAATATATACAAATATATAATGTAATATATATAGAGACAGTATAATATCTGAATAATATTTTTTTGTATTTAGCAATTAATTATATAAACGCACCTCACCGTCACATCTAGTATATAATATATATATGTATATATAAGATGTATAGTATTAATAGGTATATATATCATGCCATATATATGATGTAGGAGGGAGATATGATGGTATATATAAGTATATATATGCAATATTATACATATGGGTGTATATATGTATGTATTAGTTATATATATAATACATATGGAGAGATAGGACTTGTATTCATGTATATATTAACAGTACCTATACATATGTGTGAGATATATAGATTTCTCTATACGAGAATAATTACATACATAATACATGACATACTACTAGTATAGTATAACATCGTATACATTATGTATATATAATATAATTGTATGACATTGTAGATTCCCTTGCTTTATACATTGGTTGATTACATAGTGACTACAGGGATGACATTTATACCTGATCTATAGAGTGAGGACATAGAGTACATACATATATACAGAGCGATCATGACATGAGTAGACAGAGAGACAGACATGAGAGTACCAGAGATACATAGTATACATATCGAAATATATACATATAGGCAATACACATATACATATATATAGGTAATATAATATATATGTACATATATATAGGGCATATGAGAGAGAGAACAATATAGGGAAGATATATAGAGATGAGATAGAGATAGAGACTAGAGATAGATAGACAGACAGACATAGAGACATACAGCTATAGACAGATCAGAAGAATACAGATATCAGTAGAAAGAAGTAGATACCCGCCCCCCCCCTAGAGTATATCAGACATAGTATATCTTCTATGTATCGTAGCTCCCCACTAGTCCCTGATCCCTTGACTAGATAGATACATACAATATACAGTAACATAATTTGATATAGGTCGTGTGTATACATACAGATAGACATACATGAGAGATTGATACATACATAATTAGACATACGACAGATACATGACATAGATACTATACGATAGATAGATATGACAGACAGAGATACATGTACATGATATATATACATGATAATAGTATAGCAGACATATATATAGTATATACGTGTAAGAGAG